TAATAATATAATTGCGTAAAATATTAGAATATAAAATGTAATATGATGTAAAAAAAAAAAAAAAGGTAATTGTGTTCTTGAGATAAAAGCTGTGTTTGTGTAGCTGTGGGCCGCTGTCTGTCCAGCTAGCCATCTCATGTAAGGCTGCTAAAAGGTCTTTGTTCTTTTACTATATAAGTAACAATTCAGCCCCCACCTTCTCCTAAAAGTTGGCTGGCTTTCCTTCTGTGACTTCTAGTCCCACAATAATATCTAGTGACAAATGTATAGAACAAACCTTCTGCCTTGCTCCCTTTCCTTTCACTGATGGTCTGGCTTCCGAAAATCAATTCTCAGGGCCCCTAGTCAGAGCTACGCTGACATTCCTTTAGAGTCAGGGGGGATGGGGAGTGTTACACATATACCGCGTTCCAAATTATTATGCAAATGATATTTTTGTCATTTACCTAAATAATTGATGTAAATAACAGTCAGCATAATTCTCATGTTATCAACTATTAAGAGTACAATTCAAATTTTATTGAACAAACCTCCTAATGATAACAGTATTTTTTTTAAATAAAAAATGTACAACGCACTGTTCCATATTACGCACAGTAAGTTTCGAAACACTTTATAGGATGTAAAGAACTGAAAATTGTCATTTGTTGTGTTTGCAGCTTATTTACTGAAATCAAACGCTATTTCAATCAAACGTTTAACAACATTTTAACTTTTTAAACATTTTAACAGGTCACGTTACATTTTAACATAGGACCCCTTATTTGATAGCAGCTTCACAAGTCTTGCATCCATTGAACTTGTGAGTTTTTGGACAGTTTCTGCTTGAATTTGTTTGCAAGATGTCAGAATAGCCTTCCAGAGCTGCTGTTTGGATGTAAACTTCCTCCCACCCTCATAGATCTTTTGCTTGAGGATGCTCCAAAGGTTCTCAATAGGATTGAGGTCAGGGGAGGATGGAGGCCACACCATGACTTTCTCTCCTTTTATCCCCATAACAGCCATTGATGCAGAGGTATTCTTTGCAGCATGAGATGGTGCATTGTTATGCATGAAGATGATTTTATTACGGAAAGCATAGTTCTTCCTTCTGTACCAGGGAAGAAGAAAGTGGTCAGTCATACACTCCACATACTTTGCAGAGGTCATTTTTACACCTTTGGGAGCTCTAAAGGGGCCGACCCGCTCTGTTCCCATGATTCCGGCCCAAAACATGACTCCACCACCGCCTTGCTGACGTCGCAGCCTTGTTGGAACAGGGTGGTCGTCCACCAGCCATCCACTACTCTATCCATCTGGACCAGCCAGGGTTGCACGGCACTCATCAGTGAACAGGACTGTTTGAAAATTAGTCTTCATGTATTTTATTGCCCAGTGCAGCCGTTTCTGCTTGTGAGCATTGGTTAGTGGTGGCCGAATAGAAGGTTTATGAACAGTTGCAAGACTCTGGAGGACTCTACACCTTGATGTCCGTGGGACTCCAGAGGCACCAGCAGCTTCAAATATCTGTTTGCTGCTATGTAATGGTATTTTAGCAGCTGCTCTCTTGATCCGATGCATGGATCTGGCAGATATCTTCCTCAATGTGCCTTTATCTGCACGAACCCGTCTGTGCTCTGAATCAGCCACAAATCTCTTAATAGTGCGATGATCACACTTAAGTTTTCGTGAAATATCTAATGTTTTCATACCTCGTCCAAGGCATTGAACTATTTCACTCTTTTCGGCAGCAGAGAGATCCTTTTTCTTCCCCATATTGCTTGAAAATGGTGCTCTGCTTAATAATGTGGAACACCCTCCTTTAGTAGTTTCTCCTTAAATTGGGCTCACGGCCAATCTAATTATCACATGTGTCCGAGATTGTTTTCAGTGATCAAAAGAGCCCTGACACACAATGCCATCCATGAGTTAAGCTGAAAAACAAAATATTTCATCTTTGTGACACTTAGAATTTGCATAATAATTTAGAACGCGGTGTACACTCAATCATATTTATGTATGCACAGTATATAATGCTCCTAAAAGTTTATATATCAATTACGTAATGTAAAGTTCTATCTTATATTAATATCTTAATATAGAAATATTACAGTATAAAACTTATATGAAATAGTCTTACACTCATATTAGCCACTCCATAATAAATATAAATATATATATATATATATATATATATATATATATATATATATATATATATATATTACACACAGCGGGTGAAATAAGTATTGAACACATTAACATCAGTAAATATATTTATAGGTGCTATTGACTTGAAATTTTCACCACATGTTGGTAACAACTAATGCAATCCGTACATACAAAGAAATCAAAACAGATATGCTTAGAAATTAAGTTATGTGTAATAAAATGGAATGACACAGGGAAAAAGTATTGAACACATGAAGAAAGGGAGGTGCAAAAACGCATAGAAAGCCAAAACACCAGCTGAAATCTCAGTCATTAGAAAGCAATCCTGCCCCCTGTCAGTGCAAATTAATATCGACTGGTTCAGTCTCAACTGATGGCCTATAAAAGTGTCTCATTACCAAGGCGTCACACAAGAAACATCTTATGATGGGTAAAAGCAAATCACTCTCTCAAGTACGTCGCAACCTTATTGTTGCAAAACATACTGATGGCATTGGCTACAAAAGGATTTCTGAATGTTCAAATGAGCACTATTTGGGCCATATTTCGGAAGTGGAAAGACCATCATTTCACCAAAAACCAGCCACGAGAAGGTGCTCCTTGCAAGATTTCTGACAGAGGAGTGAAAAGAATTTACAGAAGAGTTGTCCAAGAGCCAATTTCCACTTGTGGAGAGCTTCAGAAAGACCTGGAATTAGCAGGTACAATTGTTTCAAAGAAAACAAAAAGTAATGCACTCAACCGTTCTGTGTGCACGCTCCCCACACGAGAGACTCCATTGCTGAAGAAAAAGCATGTTGAAGCTTGTTTAAAGTTTGCTGCACAACATTTAGACAAGCCTGTGAAATACTGGGAGAATATAGTCTGGTCAGATGAGGCCAAAATTGAACTCTTTGGATGCCATAATACACACTATGTTTGGAAATCAAATGGCATTGCACATCACCCCAAAAACACACACCAGTGAAGTTTGGAGGTGGGAACATCATGGTGTGGGGCTGTTTTTCAGCATACGGTACTGGCAAACTTCTCATCATTGAGGGAAGGGTGAATGGAAATATGTACCATGACATTCTTGATAATCTGCCATCTACTAGGATGATGAAGATGAAACGAGGGTGGACATTTCAGCAAGACAATGATCCCATACACAAAGCCCAGGGAACTCTCAAATGGTTTCAAAGAAAGAAAATAAAGCTGCTAGAATGGCCCAGTCAATAACCTAACTTGAATCCAATAGAAAATCAATGGAAAGAACTAAAGATCAGAGTTCATAGAAAAGTTCAAGATTTGAAGACTGTTTTTGTGGAAGAATGCGACAAAATCACACCTGAGCAATGTATGTGACTAGTTTCTCCATACAGGAGGCGTCTTCAAGCTGTCATTACAAACAAAGGATTTTGTATGAAGCAGGGTCGGACTGACCATTCGAACACTCGGGCACTGCCCGAGGGCCCGGGGGTCAGTAGGGGGCCCCATGAAATGCCCCTGGTACTTTTTTTTTTTTTTTTTTTTTTTTTTTTTTTTATAGGCTTTTTTGGGTGTGCTTTGAGTGTGGGCAAAGACACAGGGGCTCCATGATCCCATATTGCCCGGGGGCCCCATGAGTTGTCAGTCCGCCCCTGGTATGAAGTATTAAATAAGTTTCAGTTAGCAAGTTTAATACTTTTTTACCTGTGTCATTCCATTTTATTACACTTAACTTATTTGCTGAACTTATTTGGTTTCTTTATATGTATGGATTGCATGTGCTGTTACTGAAATGTGGTGAAAATTTCAAACCAATAGCACCTTTAGAATGTATTAACTGAGGAAAATGGCGACGTGTTTCAATACTTATTTCACTATATATATATATATATATATATATATATATATATATATATATATATATATATATATATATATACACACACACACACACACATCAGAACTCATTAGGGAATAATCTCCTACTGGATATCTATACGACTGCTATGGACTGGGTAATGTGTTTGGAACATAAGGATGCCCCATCGTTTGATGGAAATTAAAATTTATCAACCTACAGAGGACTGAATTCAAAGACACCCCGAAAATCAAAGTGAAAAAATTATGCAGCAGGCTAGTCCATTTTGCTGAAATTTCATTGCAGCAACTCAAATTGTGCTCAGTAGTTTGTATGGCCCCCGTGCTTGTATGCATGCCTGACAATGTCGGGCATGTTCCTAATGATACGACGGATGGTGTCCTGGGGTATTTCCACCCAGATCTGGACCAGAGTATCACTGAGCTCCTGGACAGTCTGAGGTGCAACCTGGCAGCATCGGATAGACCAAAACATGATTTCCCAGAGGTGTTTTATTGGATTTAGGTCAGGCAAGCATGGGGGCCATTCAGTGGTATCAATTCCTTCATTCTCCAGGAACTGCCTGCATTGCTGTGCACCAGGAGGAACCCTGGACCCACTGCACCACCATAGCAGGGGGTAATGGGTCCAAGGATTTCAGCCTGATACCGAATGACAGCCATTGTCTAGCCCATAGAGATCTGTGCATTCCTCCATGCATATACCTCCCCAGACCATCCCTGACGCACCACCAAAACGGTCATGCTGAACGATGTTAATTTCATTAACACCAAAGCAGCTGAAACTGACTAATAACCCCCTCTGCTACTTAACTGACCAGATCAATATCCCAGGAGTTTAATTGACTTGATGCTATATCCTGATTAAAAAGTGTTCCATTAATTTTTTTTGAGCAGTGTGTGTGTATGTATGTGTGTATGTATGTGTATATATATATATAATATATATACAAACACACTCCCCTTCATGGCCACAGGTGTATAAAATCAAACACCAAGGCATGCAGACTGCTTCTACAAACATTTGTGAAAGAATGGGTTGCTCACAGGAGTTGCCACCTGTTCAATAAGTCCATCCGTGAAATTTCCTGGCTACTAAATAAACCACGATCAACTGTTAGTGGTATTATAACAAAGTGGAAACAACTGAGAAGAACAGCAACTCAGCCATGAAATGGTAGGCCACGTAAAATGACAGAGCGGGGTCAGCGCATGCTGAAGCACACAGTGCGCAGAAGTCGCCAAATGTCTGCAGAGTCAATAGCTAAACACCTCCAAACTTCATGTGACCTTCAGATTAGCACAACAGTGCGTAGAGAGCTTCATGGAATGGGTTTCCATGGCCGAGCAGCTGCATCCAAATCTTACATCATCAAATGCAATACAAACTGTCGGATGCAGTGGTGTAAAGTATGGCGCCACTGGACTCTAGAGCAGTGGAGACATCTTCTCTGGAGTGATGAATAATGATTCTCTGTCTGGCAATCCGAAAGATGTGTCTGGGTTTGGTGGTTGTCAGGAGAGCGGTACTTGCCTGACTGCATTGTGCCAAGTGTAAAGTTTGGTGGAGGGGGGATTATGGTGTGGGGTTGTTTTTCAGGGGTTGGGCGCTGGGCCACCCCTGTTTCAGTGAAGGGAACTCTTAAGGCGTCAGCATACCGAGACATTTTGGACAATTTCATGCTCCCATCCTTGTGGGAACAGTTTGGGGATGGCTCCTTTCTGCTCCAACAATGCGCACCAGTGCACAAAGCAAGGTCCATAAAGACCTGGATGAGCGAGTTTGGGGTGGAGGAACTTGACTGGCCTGCACAGAGTCCTGACCTCAACCCGATAGAACACCTTTGGGATGAATTAGAGCAGAGACTGCGAGCCAGGCCTTCTCGTCCGACATCAGTGCCTGACCTCACAAATGCGTTTCTGGAAGAATGGTCAAACCTTCCCATAGACACTCCTAAATCTTGTGGACAGCCTTCCCAGAAGAGGTGAAGCTGTTATAGCTGCAAAGGGTGGGCCAACTCAGTATTGAACCCTACAGACTAAGACTGGGATGCCATTTAAAGTTCATGTACGTGTAAAGGCAGGTGGTCCATTATTTTTGGCAGTATAGTATATATTCACATAGACTATAAAAGTCTGTTTATCTTACTTTTCCCAATCTAGAACAAATGGAAATATAACAACTCAGTTATTCTATTAACACTCTTACCAATGTTAATAATAATAATAAGCAGATATTAGATTAAAGAAAGCTTCTAACAGTTAGCAATGTTATGACTTCACACAATGGCAGTGTTCTGTGGTCCTAATTCACTCCCGGTCCTAGTGTGACAACACTGCACATTGGACAGGAAATAATAGCCTGAAAAAATGGAAACGAATGTAGCCACCACATACAAGCCCAGGTGAGCTGCAATATATTACGTGTTCCTAGGTTTAGATACACTTTAATTGAGATAAATATATGATAACTTTTTACGTATCTTTTTACTTGCTATATATTTGTGGAATAGCCTGTTGAATATCCCCCTTGATGTTTTTGTGTCATTGTCAGGCTGCTCTTTGAACAGCAGAAACAGGAGATTGACTACCATGCCCTTAGCAGGTGCCTTGGCAAGCCAGTTATCATTACCTTGTGTCATGCAAGCTATCAGGGAGACCTGGTACATGTTGATCACGGTCGATCACTTATAATGAGTAAAGGTAAGTGTTTCTTTACAGTTATCTGTAGTAATTATTGTTAAAGCATATCCAAGTCATGTTTTGTTTAGTTCTAGATAGAGTAGGTATTGATTAAAAGCCATGTCAAGTTTTTTCTTTGTTGTCGATGGGAGGGAGATTTTCCACCACTTTATTCCTTAACCACTTCCACTCTGGACACTTTTGCCCCCTTCCTGACCAGGGCAATTTTCAGCTTTCAGTGCTATCACACTTTGAATGACAATTGCGCGGTCATGCAACACTGTACCTATATGAATTTTTTTTTGAGACAGATAAAACTTTATTTTGGTGGTATTTATTCACTGCTGAGATTTTAATTTTTTTTGCTATGTAAATGAAAATGTCGAAAAATTTTGAAAAAAGTGTTTTTTTTCAAAATTTTTCGACAAAAAATTTGCAAATAAAAATAATATTTCATCATAAATCTTGGCCAAAATTTATCCCGTTATCTTTTTAGTAAAAAAAAAAAGCCAAATTAGTTTATAACCAAAAATTATCATTTTTAAACTTTTTTTTTACATTTTTATTTTTTTATATTTTATTTTTTTTTTACATACTGTCACCCTAGCAGTACAGTGTCACCATGGTGACACTGTACTACTTTTGGGGGGTGATGAAGATTTTTTTTTTTTTTTCTTTACACTGATTACTTTTACACCCATATAGGATGTAAAAGTAATCATTTCCTTTTTCTCTCTGTGTGCATTCTTGCATCCATTGGGAAATACTGTGTGAGCTGTTATTGGTCACAGCTTGTCACATGGTACAAGGCTGTTGTGAATAGCCTTGTACCATGTGACCTCTGTGATCATTCACAGATTTCACACGTAGTAAGCAATTATGTCACAAGTGACATCTTGCTTACTACTTTGCATGTGATCACTGATTGGCCAATCAGTGATCACATGATCGAGACCTCGTACAGAGGTGCAGTCCGAGGATTGGTGTTTCACTGTGTCCGGAGGACACAGCGGGCACCGGATTGCGCACACAAGCAGGGTGTGGGGAGGCAGTTTATAAACGGCCACCCCACCCTGCAGTGCCACCATCCGGCCATTTATATTCCAAAACAAAATGTTCAAAGCAAACAAAATCATGAAGTACTTTTGAATGACATTTGTTCAATCAGCAAATGTACAAATGTTCATACAAATATTCAAAAATTTGCTAATTTGCTAATGTATGGTCAGGTTAATGTAGCCACCACAATTCAGGAATGTTAAGTTGCAATATATTTCATTTTTGTTTGGATTTTTATATTCTTTAAGATTTTACATACCAAAAGCATCCTTACTATCGATAAAGTCTCTCTGGACAGTTTGTACTTGGTCCTGTTTGGCACAGAAGCTGGACTGGTCTGTTTCCAGTTCAGGCAGTGGCAGCAGATGCACTAGTGGCTCTGTAGAATAAGTTCTCTCTGATTCGTGTCTTTCCTCTCTGAGGCTTCTGCCTTAGCTGATCCACAGAATCAAGTTGGAAGGAATTTTGATGATTCTAATAACCACAGATTGACCCATGAAAATTTGGTGTGCCAGACAGGCCAGATCATCTCTCTCAAGTTCCGACCTTGCACCCTGCTTCTCATTTGCTGCATATATATGGCTGAAAAATTCCAGGACTGAAGTAGTTATCTCAGACTCTGTGAAATCTACTATGCTTAAAGTAGTAAAGTAACAGAACAGTGAAATCAGTGTATATGCAGTAAAGCATGCTTGTTATACTCAATGTGGAACCTAAGGGGTTAATTCTCTGCATTGTGTAAAAAGGCTGTTTGATCCTGACTTCTCTGATCCTCCCCTTCTTCCAGTGTCCCCCACTTATCTCCTGATAAGACATATCTGTGGAGTAGCTCTGCACATGCTCAGTTTGGTATTTCTAGAGAGGTTTTTTGTTTTCTTGGGAGAGTGCACGTGATCAGCACAGGGCCAATCAGCACTGTCTAGACAGAGGTCAGGGGTTCTGCATCCTCCTAGAGCAGATTGAAAACTCCTCCTACAAGCTTTAACATGTGCTCTGCTGGACACTGATAGAAGTCACAAGACTGCTCTAACTGCTGATGAGAAAAGGTATTTAGCCAGTTGCCATCCTCCCTGTAGCAGGTTTACTGCTACAGGGTGGAATCCCTGTGCAAAATCACATGTGTATATATATATGTGATCCATGCTCCCACCATGTTCACGGGTAGGGGGCACACACACCTGCCGACCCCGTGTGGCTGTGGTTCGGTGCAGCACCAATCAGTCAGCAGATTCAGGCCAGTGATGTTCGGCCTGGATCTGCTGATTGATCACTGCCCTATCACAGATCTTCTTGTGCCTGTGTTTACATTACACAGGCACAGGAAATGATGCAATCTTCTCTCCCTGGGGCACATTCCCTTCCAGTGAAATAAGAAAGCAGATCCAAGTGAGCTAAAAGCACTACACCTTACAGTAAAAGCACTGATAGTTCACATTTAACCCCCTGATCGCCCCCCAGTTACCCCCTTCACTGCCCTGTCACCAGTGTCATTAGTACAGTGTACAGATTTTTTACTTATCACTGTATTAGTATCACAGGCGACTTCAGCTAGCATTAGCATCCCCCCAGATAGTGTCAGATTGCCCACCACTACATCAATCATCATATTTAACCCTCTAATTGCCAGGAACATGCTCACATACACAATAAACCTCCATTGCTAGTATAGTGTCTGAATGGATCAATATCTTTGACCAGATCAGAACTATACTAGCGTTCACAATAATATAATGTCACCAAAAATGCAGCGTTAGCAGGATCAGCCCCGAAACCTGCCAGCACCTGCATTTTAGCCCTTACGCTTACCCTCCCCTTCACCCTCAGCAAGTACAGTGTCAGTAGATCACTGTCACTTGATACATTGCACACAAAACTGCAGGGTTAGCAAGATCAGGCCTGATCTCTGCTTCCACTAGCAGGTAAATTTTTTTTTTAGTAGTGGTGCAAGCAGTCCCTGTCAGCCAGGTGCTCTTTTTCCCTATTTGTTGGGGCCTTCATCCAACGGCTTGTAAATACCTGTCTTAGGGGTAAAAAGTCTGCTTGAAAAATGCTGAATTGCTCGCACTGAAGTGGAAGGACAAACGTTTTGTTTATGTCCTGTTTTCCATTCATGCAAACACGACCATCCAAATTTCTATGGCAGCTGGTGTTGTTGAGAAGCTCCTCTGTGTCCACAACTATAAACCTAACATGGGAGGGGTAGACTTCAGTGACCAGATGATGAAGCCATACTTAGTTTCCTGAAAAGCCAAATGCTGGTACAAAAAAAGTGTCTGTTTATTTATTTCAATTGGCTCTGTACAACGCTTTTGTTCTTTACAAAGCAACTGAATGAAGTGGATCCTTCCTAAAATTCCAGGAAGAAATAATAATGGCCCTTTTGTATCCAGAAGGTGCTATGGCCCAAACCCCCAACACAGATGCAGTAAGCCGGATGCATGAGAGGCATTTTCCTGATGCCATTTCTTGTACCCCAACCCAAAAGACACCCCAAAAAAGTTGTTGTGTCTGTAGCAGACATGGAATTAAGTGTGACACCCACTATTTTTGTCCCTCCTGTCCTGGCCAACCTGGTCTCTGCCTCAAGGACTGCTTCTGTCACTACCATACACTAGTGGAGTATTAGTATAGGGTACAGCACAGTCTAGGTCACATAGATACACAGGGTATCGAAAGATGTTAAGTAGTCA